TCTGATTTATTCTCAGATCAATAAAATAGAGAATGCACATCGTTTTGGAGTTTAGGTAATTAAATTAGTTCTTGTTCAAAAATATATTAACTTACATTAATATGAATAAAAACACATAGTTCATAATACAATGCTGTACTAATCAATAATATTCGTGCGAAAAAGAAAAAATGAAGTCTCTATTATAGATATATGCTTATATCATAATTAATTCTATAAGGTCTAAATAGTTTTACTTGCATAGGATATAAACATACAATTTGTAACAGATAAAATAATTTACATCTCATACAAGGATCAGTGGAAACTGATATTACCAGTGTTATTATGTCATGATATATCTCTTGTCATAAAGAATGTTGATTCTCTTTTATTTCCTCGCGTACTACTGATATTAAAATCGAATATGATGATCTTCACAGAATAAGTTATGTGATATGTTCGAATTAAATAATTGGATACGTAAAATCAATCAGAATTGATCATTAATCGATTTTAAATGTTTATAATTTAATAAAATTCAGCGGATAAATTATGAAATGATAAGAAAATATCTTTTTATTTATTAAATCATGGAAAATATACTGAAGAATTTCAACAAAAAAATTCTTTTCTTTTTTTTTCAAAAAAATGAATGTTAATTCATGAAACTAAATCAAATGTTACAATTCGATTCGATAAAAAATCAGCAACGTTAATATTTCGTTTGTCATCCAAAGATAAACCCAGGTCAAACAAGCGCGATCGTAAACGGTCGTATTCAATCGTTTACGAAGTTCGTAATCATCGAACTGGGTTAACCCATAAGTCCACTCAACTGATCTGGTTTATATCCACCAATAACAAGTTCACCTTTTCCTTCATACCAACGCATTATTCGACGATTTCCATAATCAGCCACATAGATTTGACCCGAATCATCAACAAATATTCCTTCAGGTTTAGATATTTGATTGAGATTTTCTCCATTACTATTACCTCTAGCCACAATTCTTCCTTCTTTTGCACCTTTTTCCCATTTCATTATACGATGGTTGTTACTGTCTGATACATAAACAGATTGATATTCATCAACAAAGATAAACGTAGGATAAGCAAGTTGATTGAGCTGATTACCTTGTTCATTTCCACCTGCTACTACAATTTCTTCATTGTCTTCACCCATTTTCCATTGTAGCACTTCATTGTTCTTATAATCAGAAACATAGAGAAATATATTTTTATCCATTGCCAAGCCATAACAATCAATATTGTGAATGAGAATTTGTTGATCTTTATTCATCCATTGAATCACTCGTCTGTTACTAAGATCAGCAATGATGATGAAATGAGTTTGTTGATCAAAAATCACATCTATGGGATTACTCAATTGCTTCTCTGAGTATCCCTTGCCACTTCCACCTGCAATAATTTGTCCTGTGTTTGCATTACATTCCCATTCAATAACACGATGATTCATAAAATCAGCAATAAAAATATGTTTGTTTCTATCGATAAAGATTCTTTGAGGGCGATTGAGTTGACATAATCCTTCACATTCTTTATTTTCACCAACCACAGTAATGGCATTTTGTTTCCATTTCATGAATTTTGGCTCTAGAAAAGGATGAAAACAAAAGATTTTAATGAAAAGACAAAAAAATTTGAAAAAGAGTAGATTTTGTTGAGTTATTTTTTGTTAAACAAAGATGTGAAAATAATTCAATTTTGCTTTTATCAACCAAACATTTTTTGAACCTTAAAATAAAAAATTTTCTGTAATATACTATTATCTTATATTTTATCATTCTTTTTTTATATTCGAATAAACTGGATTTTCTATTTCTATCAATTCTACTATTATTGATTAAATAAATTAATAATATTCTCAATTATTTTATCTTCTTTGTCATTACTTTTCTTTGTTTTTATAGCTTTTTAACATAAGTTCATAGAAAATGAGAGCTATTCTTCTAGAAATTACTTCTTAATAACGTACTTTTCGATGAAATAATTAAAATATCATTGATAAGCGGTTGTGAATTTTGTGGAGTAGACATATTTGATGGATTGTTTAATTCTTGACTAATTTTTATTAATTGTTTCCTCAAATAATTTAAACCAGTTTCATTAGATTCATTTTCTTGTTGAAGTTGTTTTATTTGTTCAAGCAAACCATTAAATTTTATTTCACTATCATTAACACATTCTTGTAATGAGTTAGTGAAAATTTCTCGATACTCTTGTGCATTTGCTTTAATTTTTTAAATTGATTTTGTTTCCCATGCATTAATTTGGTTCATTACTAGATGATTTTGTGAACCTTGTTTTTATATCACAATTGTTTCTTTAAGTTTATCATAACCATGACTAATACCACGTAATTCATCATTTTATTTTTGACGATGTTGTGCTAAATCCTAGAAACAAAATCTTTTTGAACATCCCCAGGTCGATTATTACGAACTTCGTTTACGATCGCGTTTGTTTGACCTGGGTATGTTATTTTTTCTTTGGCATATGTAATACATAGTGTTTTATCGTTTGTCATCGCCATGTCTTTGAAAAAGTCTAAAATAGAAATGAATATATATTTATCTGCTTTTCTATATTAAACTTAAGAAAGTATGTATGTACACACACGTGTATGTAGCTGGCTAACTATTTATACATCTAGGTATAACTATTTTACTAGTAAACATAAAATCATGTATTGTTGTATTTTAAAATAAAATTCGTAATATAATCGAGCCGATTATTAATCATGAAAACAATTGCATTAAAATGGCGAAACAGATATTATTTTTTATATATTTCATCAACTAGGAAAATATTCGTCCCATTAGTATTATCCTCTTTAACTAATCGTAATTAGTATTTAATTAACAACTTTATTATTTCATCGATATGTAAAAAGTGTACGACTGAACAACGTCTATGCTTTATATAAAAGAGACGCGTAGTTTGTATTCATTAAATTGATTCTTATAAAATGATATGATCTTTTAACAGCATTGTTATAATGTGAATCATTTGCGTTGGATGTTTCTTTTTTTTTCTTCTATTTTATATATCGTAAGATGACAAATACGATCCTATACATATATATATATATTGCTTTCGTTTTCTCAACCTTCAGGTCATTTTCGGTTATTTGTTTTCCATGTGATGTTCTTCTGCACTATTGCACATTTCGCTCACATTTCTTACTAATTAAGAATATTCCTAGTATAGGGAATAATCCCTTTCGGAGATTATAATGGAAATTTAAACTTAGAAAGTTTCATTTTGTTTTGTGTTTTCACATGAAAGTCATCATTTTTTGTTAGTTTTTAATTACCTGAGCAGTTAATGCATCAATTTGTAAACTCTTCCTTGAATTATTCTCAACTATCAAATTGCTTTGTAAAGAAAAAATCTTTATCTTGGTCTATTTTTATGGATGAAGAATTACTATGAATGCGAATAAATCCTTATCTGAGTTTAAATAATTGATTTTGAGAATAAAATAAAACAAAATTATAAACGATTCAGCTTTCCACGTTTATGAGGGTTGTTACACTTCTGCAGTCAGTTGTCTTTCTTCTACTTGAACTTGCTTCAAGTGGAGATCTAGTTTGGCTTCTTATCTATGAAATCTCCGAATTTATTTGTCTTATACACACTATTTGATCTAAATAATACTGTAATTCAATTATTACATTATTTTTTCTTTCATTGACTTACAATGATGTAACTATGGTAGTATTAAATCTTTCGTTTCTATTAACCAATTTTCACTTAATTTATATATTTATGTGCGAAATTGACCTATTCGAATAATAATAATAAAAAAAACTGTTTAACAATATTTCATCAAGATGCGTCGCACCATCGACAGCATCATCATCAGATTCTCAATATTTTTTTCTTATTCGACATGGAATCTATTTGTCAACTAGTAATAAAGATCATGGTTTGATTGAACTTGGAAAAAAACAAGTAAATATTTATCTTATACAGTAGTGAACAAAATTATAAGAGTAGCTATTTTATAACTCATATTGTCAAGCCATTTTGACTTAAAAAATGAATCTAACTATGCATCTTACGAGGGAACCTCTCCAGGTGATAAAGCCCTTTAAGCGCCATCTTTTGGCGATAGATAGACCTCAGTGAGGTATGAAAAACCTCAAGAGGATTTGTGCCCTTTCGCCTTCTATTTAGGGTTATAGGCATATTACTGAAATTTTTACCTATAGCAAGGTATCTACCAACAAATCGAATATCGGTATTT